TATATATAACTAAACCCCTTCATTAAAATAATACAATATGTAGTATTTACATACAAACCATGCGGTTCAATCATAATATCCTGTGAATTCAAAGAACAGCTGTGGTGGAACAACTACGCTCCTCTGAATGTCTCATTTCAAATAAAGAGATTTCGAAGAAATATGGTTTGAAAATCGGCCTCAACGACCTCTTACTGATTTACTGCTCAGAGTACAGGTGGTTCCGTAAAATAAAATTCAACGCATCATGATGATGGAAAAAGCCTTCGAATCTCTCCTACCATTTTGTTCAAATAAACGGTAATGATTGGTTGGATTTAACTATCTGTGGCTATTCAATCTATACAAAATGCCTTGTAGAGTATGTGTGATTGTACTTTTTAGTATAATGAATGCAGCCAGTATTAAGGTTTTCGCATGAGTAAGGTGACGAATTCACGTGTATGTACGATTGTACGATACTACAAGAGTAGAAACGATATCAGCTTTGTGTTTTGTTCATGATGTTGTATAGTTGTAAATGCAAGATATACATGACGTTCGCCTTCTCATAGCTCCACTTTTTACTTAAAACCTTACAATACCTTTCACCCGTCACAATGGATTCGCACACTAAGAAAATTCTAGTCCTAGGAGCGACAGGACACTGTGGCCTGGGTGTTGTTGACCGTGCATGTGCACGTAGAAACATCGGAGCAGTCACTGCGCTTGTGAGAAATAAAGAGCGTGCCGAGAAATTGTTCGCAGACATTCTGGCAAAAGATGGGGTACGCGATAAGCTTACTATCGTTGAAGGGTATGTATCTGTTGTATTTGTTGTTTTTGTTGGCGTGCGATATATACTGTGACGATATCCATGTATGAATAGGTTTTCTTCAATATATGAAGTCTTCCGAAAGCTACATAAATGACCAGTTATAGATTCTATGCCGGGCAGAAGATTCAATAATTTATCTCGGATTGTCATGTATATGGTGTCAGATGTTTTAATGTTATATAAAGATATATCCATATATATATATATATATATATATATATATATATGTGTGTGTGTGTGTGTGTGTGTGTGTGTG